TGGTAAAGTTAACATAGGGTACACATATATAAACATATATATAACATAGGGTACATACATACATATATATAAATATATATATAAAACCGTAAACAGATCACAGAAATGAGTCAGAATTCCTGGGCAAGTTATTTTAGAATTAATACTTCTTAAAAACAGATGACAGGTGGCAAGATTGATGGAAGAAATGCAAAAGAAAGACAAGGAGATAAATTCGAAACAATGTTTTCCCCAATGTTTTAAATGACGACGACAACAAAATATATTGCTCTATTTATTTTTTGGCATATTTGACTTTAGCGTCAGGTGCACAACTATGGGGTAGCAAGCACAGCACAGGGGCCGTTGTCTCTTTTTCCTCTTGTAGCCTATGCCATGTAGCGTTGGTAGTAATGTATAAAAAAACAACCTTCTGTCCCGGATCTCTTTTAGTCTATGCCATCTTGCGTTGGTATTCAACTCTGTACACAACCTTCTGTCCCGTGTCTCTCATAGTCCACACCCTGTGGCGTTCGTAGTAATGTCTGTACACAACCTTTTGTCCTGTGTCTCTTATAGACAACACACCATGTGGCGTTCGTAGTAATGTCTGTACACAACCTTTTGTCCCGTGTCTCTTATAGACAACACACCATGTGGCGTTCGTAGTAATGTCTGTACACAACCTTTTGTCCCGTGTCTCTTATAGACAACACACCCTGTGGCGTTCGTAGTAATGTCTGTACACAACCTTATGTCCCGTGTCTCTTATAGTCCACACCGTGTGGCGTTCGTAGTAATGTCTGTACACAACCTTATGTCCCGTGTCTTTTATAGTCTATGCCGTCTGACGTTGGTAGTAATGTCTGTATACAACCTTGTGTCCCGTGTCTTTTATAGTGTATGCCGTCTGACGTTGGTAGTAATGTCTGTACATTACCTTATGTCCCGTGTCTTTTATAGTCTATGCCGTCTGACGTTGGTAGTAATGTCTGTACACAACCTTATGTCCCGTGTCTTTTATAGTCTATGCCGTCTGACGTTGGTAGTAATGTCTGTACATTACCTTATGTCCCGTGTCTTTTATAGTCTATGCCGTCTGACGTTGGTAGTAATGTCTGTACACAACGTTTTGTCTCGTGTCTTCTTCCTTTTATAGTCCACACCGTGTGGCGTAGGTAGTGATGTCTATACACAGCCTTAGGCCCCGTGTCTTCTTTCTCTTATTGTCTATGTCGTGTAGCGTTGGTAGTCATGTTTATCCACAACTTTCTATCTCGTGTACTTTCTTTCAGTCAGTTCTGATACAGATGATCTTCCATGCCATGATATCAAACCACCCAACATCTTCTCTGTCAGTCTCCCTATGCCTCTTTTCCCCCCTAACTTTCCTACCGTCACGATGTACTTTAGTTTTCTATTTCTCACGACATGACCAAAGAATGTTACCTTATGGTGTTGGCAATCAGTTCTCTTCGTGAGTCAATTTCTTTCAATTTCGTTGTCGTCAGAGTGCATCTGTCCTAAGAGGCAAGGAATCAACGGTTTGCATACAGATAAACCATATATGTAAAACGGATGTGCACGCAAGTTATGGGAACTGGACGAACAACCAAAATCTTCCACCGAAGTTTACAGTCGTTTTACTCAAAAAATAATTGGTTTTTCAAGACATCTTGATTATTATTAAAAAAAAAAAAAAAATTATGACTAGTGTATTCTCACAGTTTTTCTATGAAACCACATCTCCCTCGCTTCCAACTTATGTGAAGTAATCGTACAATAGTCCATCAATCAATTACTTCCGTGTGTCAGGATATGATTTGAATTGCTCTTGAAATAAACGGGTCATTTTGAAGTGACGGCCAAAATTGTAAAACTGTCTGCTTCGGATTCTAGAGTTCACGGGCGGTCTGTCAGACAGTAGATAGACGGACGGACAGAAGAACGGACTGACAGAAAGGCAATTGGATAGATTGATGGATATGTGTACAGACAGGCATATACCCACAAGATACAAGACATATAAACAGACAGACACATGCAGACGCATAGAAAGACATGTGATAGTTCCTAGTTGTGTGTCAACGGTAGAAACGGGCCGTCTAAGGTTATTTCCGCAAGCAGTGGGGCTTATCGAGCACTAGATCAGCAACGTAGATCATCTTCATCAGCCTAATCCTATTGCGCTGTTGAACGTCCCACAGAAAGCGTAGTAAATTCTCCCCTATTTCCTCTGGCGCAGATCTCCCACTATCATTAGTTAACACTTCAATTCTAGTTGTCCTCATGTGGTATGCAATTTTTCGTTATTTGATGAAACCTCACCCCTGGCTCTTGCCTGGGGCTCTGAATATAGCCAGGCCATAAAAATGGCCAAACGGCTAGAAGGGGTATCTGGGACCTCTCCAGGGTGATCCTCATCCGCATGTACACACTTTGTGTCACCGGGTGTTTATTGCTCTGTGTGATGTCCTGGTGTGGTAAAAATTATTACTACTACTCCCACTGTCATGCGTGAAATCCAATCCAGCGCCTTTGGTTTCTCATTGAGCATAATATGCCAGCTCCGTATCTTAGTCGATCGATTCTTGTCAGAAGATAAGATTAACATTGTGCCGGCTACTTGTACTTCCTATGATTGTTTTCTTCGTCAGGGATCAAGCTTTGCAATGCGTCTATTCCGACACGCATGGAGGTCTTTACAGGTGCTCTTTAGTTGGTCCTGCAGGGTCGCTACCATGGAATAGACTTCCTCACTGTCTGGTAAAATCTGCGCAATATTGTAATTCTCCGGAGTTCCCTTGACTTCCGGGGACATTTCCTAGGACCCATTTTAACTTGGGATCGATATGAAAGCTCATGCTAGTTTCAAAAAACATACTCGGTGAAGATTCAACTCTATAACTAACCCCTGGACAGATAGCGCGCTAACCTTTCTGCAACAGCGACACTCTTAAAAAAAAAAAACGAAACAAAAACGGAAAAAGTAGAAGGAGAAAAAGAAGGAGAAACAGAAGAAGAAGAAACAAAGAAGAAGATGATGATGACGATGAAAGAGAAAAAGAAAAATAAGAGAAAAAAAATAAGAAGAAGAAAAAGAAAAAGCAGATGAAGACGAAGAAAGAAAAAGAAGAAAAGGAAGATGAAGAAGAAGAAAGGAAGAAGAAGAAGAAGAAGCAGAAGAAGAACAAGAACAAGAACAAGATAAAGAAGAGAAGAAGAAGAAGAAGAAGAAGAAGAAAAAGGAGAAGAAGAAGAAGAAGAAGAAGAAGAAGACTGAGAAGAAGGAGAAGCAGAAGAAGAAGGAGGAGAAGCAGAAGAAGGAGAAGAAGAAGAAGAAGAAGGGGAGGGGAATGGAGGAGGAGGAGGTGATCAAGCAAAACAAAAAGTTGATCAATATACTGATTAATTAACTTCGAGGAATAATAGGGACCAAAACATAACCTTGATTGGACACTAATTATGGTTTAAGGTTGTCGACAACAATCGCCCACGCTTATCGACGTAGAACATAACTATAACTAAGTACGCGAGTCTTCTAACCCCAGTTAAGTACAACAATACAGGAAACAGTCACAGATAAGCCAAGTTAAAGAGCGAGTAAAAACTAAACAGAGAAAAAAAAAAATATCAACCCGTTGTACATAATCTAATGTCACCCTGAGATCGGAGGTAAATGAAATTAAAACTTCAGCTTACTTGAATTACTAACACAAAGTAAATGCGCTGTATTCCTCACCTCTGTTATGTTTAGGGAAGAAAGAACTAGCCGACATCTCAAAGGTGTGTGAGTACTGGCCTGTTTACGTTGAAAGTGACGTGATTAACGTAATTAAATTTGGCAGTTCCGGAGGGTAACGGTACAAATGAGCTGATGCAATTGTCTAGCTAGCCAAGTTTTGATAAGTGCACTTTTGTATTGTGCTGTTTGTTACAACCTAGGCTATCTTTTGTGTACAGTTGGCATCTCATCTTGCTCCCCCCTCTTTTGTAGTTTACATTGTTAATGTTATGGTAAAATAGACAGAGAGATAGAAACGAGAATCCAACAAGCCGACAATGTCACGTACCAACTTGCTCCAATTTTAAAACACCCTGCTATCCCACTAGAGAGAGAGAGAGAGAGAGAGAGAGAAAGAGAGAGAGAGAGAGAGACACACACACACACACACACACACACACTCTCTCTCTCACACACACACATACACACACACACACACACACACACACACACACACACACACAAAGACTAATTATAAATTCAATATTTATACCGACTTTAGATTACCAATGTCAGATTTGGACATTGACAAAAAGAACACGAAAGAAACTAACCACCTGTGAAATGGGATGTTTCAGAATGGCTGTGAATAAAATCAGAAGAGATCGAGTGAGAAACGACGTGATCACAAGAACTGTTGGAACAACACCCATCGTCAAATTTATTGAGAAACAAAGAATGAAATGGTTTGGCCATCTAATGAGAATCAATACTTTTTCATTCCGTTCTTATGCCTATACTAGATCTCATCATCATCAAGTAGCAGGCCCTTTACAGAACGTCGCTCTCATCACGGTCTGCCTGAAAGAAACTCGGTATCTCGTCAGCTCTCCCGCCTCCTGCACTTTCATACTCAAGGAGTCACTTATATCCTGTGCCCATCTCCGTGTTGGTCGGCCCCTGTCCCTCCTGGATCTACTCGATTATATTTAGACGAGTCAGAACGAGCAAATATTCAAATTCTTTCTATTTCTTCTAGAGTATAATAAATCTCCGCCGGGCTGCTAGGCCAGTCACATGTTAGTGACAGGAATTGAAAACAGACAGACAGACAAACAGACACACAGGCAGACATACAGACAGACACACAGACAGACAGACACACAGACAGACATACAGACCGACAGACAGACAGAGAGTCATCTTATTTGTTTGTGTTTACCTTAAATGGGTAGACATTTCTACCTGTAAACCTACCTGGACATCTGTCAGTCAATAAACTGTTTGTCTTCCACAGGTAAAGAATATGCCTTCAGATGAACAGTTCTCCTTCGACTACAAGGTAAGACAGGAAGGGTGGAGGGAGAGGGTGAGATCGGGTAGTGTGGGGCGGAGGTTAAGGAGAGTTTGTGTACAGACAAAAATAACATAAGGGAGGTAGATAATTTTTGTGAAATTTTGTATATTTTAAAGGAGGGTGTTACAGATTTTACCAGAAAGAGAGAGAGAGAGAGAGAGAGAGAGAGAGAGAGAGAGAGAGAGAGAGAGAGAGAGAGAGAGAGAGAGAGAAAGGAAAGAGAGATTGAGGGTCGAGGAATAAATAGTTCCGAGAAAGACATTTGATGGAAAGGTTCAGTTGTGGGTGTAGATTGCTTTTAAATGATGTAAGTCTTAGGAGTGTGAAAGATTTAAAATATAAAGATAGAATGAGAGAGAGAGAGAGAGAGAGAGAGAGAGAGAGAGAGAGAGAGAGAGAGAGAGAGAGAGAGCGAGAGAGAGAGAGAGAGAGAGAGAGAGAGAGATGAAAAAGAGAGGGGGTGTGGAGAGAGAAATAATATGTAAGGAGCAAATGATAGAGGGGTTGTTGTTGAAGGAGATAAACCTTAGTAGAGATAGACATTGCATGGGGGGGGGGGGGGGGGGAGAAGTGGGGTTAGAAAGTGGGTCACTTAAAAAAACAACTGATGAGCTATTTACATCCTTCCGCTGTCGATCAGATGTCACGATAAGACGGGTTTTGAATTTAAATGTTGAGCTCAAGGTTTGGGAACTTGGACGTGTCAAACAATTTTATAATTACACACACGTCTTTAGCTAGAGCGTTCACAAGTCCGAGGTCTTCAACTAGGTGAATGTACGTAACGAACATTTTGTTTTTAAATTCCAGCAAGTTGAGAATGGGGCACCTGGGTACGTCTAAATGTCTACTCTTCTGACAGACAGACAGGCGGACAGACCTAGCAACGGATGGACGATTAAATAGAGGGATAGACAGACATACAGATGGATGGATCACTAATAGATGGAATGACATTTCAATAGATGTATAGGTAAAAAAGCAATAGTCATATAAATGGGTGAAACGGTGAATAGGTTTGTATTTAGACAAACCGGTTTACGTGTATGGAGTCGAAAATGGAATATAACTAAAGCGATTACATATAAACTAGAAACATTTATTAAATGGTGCCTACGCCTAGAATATGTATTCAAATGGTATGATATGGTTCACTGAAGAACAACACACGAAATGGTTTGGCCACCTGACGAGAATGCCCTGGTACCAACTGCCACAGAGAGCCACGCTGAAGAAATATAATGAACACAGATCAAGGGGAAGACCACACAAGAGATGGAGCGACATCATCATGACCTAACAGAAATGAACACAAACTTGTACAATACATTAGAAAAAGGGCTTAAACGATCCTTACAACACCCCCCCCCCCCCCCTCACCACGTCGATGAGGTAAATGGTGGAAGAGAAAAAGAAGAAGAAGAAGATATAATCACTGATGTAGAACCTTGCCACAAAGATAAATAAAGTCAAATGAATCAGGAGGCCCAGAAAAGACGCAAGCGTTGGATAGGACTACTTTGAGAAAACTTGAGAACAATATAACTAGAATGCCTTTACGTTGGAACTCACAGGTGTTTATAAATAAATAAATAAATAAATAACTGAGTATCCTTTACAGGCCAATGTTAACCAACCACGGCATACAATTTTGGAACCAACGCAAAGAAGACTGCTGCCTAATAACCTGCAGCTGGAACCGAACCGGGTATGTCGAAATGACACAGTACATACACAGTGCAATGCCTAAGCTACAGATGGCGAAGTAAAACAGACCATTAACACACGGAGAGGGGCAGCTACAGGGTGAACGTTGAACAAGATGAGGAGGGCACGGGGTGAGCTCCAGGCACAAGCGAACGATATGACTAGTTGGTGTGAGGGTTGGTTGAGGGCCTATGCTCCATTGGGCAATAAGGGGCAGAGGAATCAGAAGGAACAAGAGGAGGGAAAGAAGAAGAAGAAGAAGAAGGAGAGAGAGGAGGAGAGGAGAGGAGCATGAAGAGGAGATGATAAAAAACAAATAGATCTACTTTAGACACAATTTAATAGGTATTTTTGGAAATATATAGATATAATATAAATGAACACATGAAAAGATGAATGGATGGATATTTAAATAGTTTCTTTCTTTCTTTCTTTCTTTCTTTCTTTCTTTCTTTCTTTCTTTCTTTCTTTCTTTCTTTCTTTCTTTCTTTCTTTCTTTCTTTCTTTCTTTCTTTCTTTCTTTCTTTCTTTCTTTCTTTCTTTCTTTCTTTCTTTCTTTCTTTCTTTCTTTCTTTCTTTCTTTCTTTCTTTCTTTCTTTCCTTCTCACTACTTTGTCTATATGTATTTTTCTTTTAATTTTACATATTTTTGTGTTTATTTAATTCATTCATTTATTCGTTTTTTAGACCATTTTCCGCATCCTGTATTCTTTTTGTTTTCTTTGTAATTTTCCCCACTTCTTTTCTTTCTTGATTTTTATATTCTTCTCCCTTTTGTTTTTAGTGAGGTCATCAGCGCTTCTTTTTGTTTGTTTCTTTCTTGCACTGGATTTGTCTCCATTCTTAACCCTTGTGTCTTTATCAATCAGTCCGTCTTACCAGGTGTGTGTGTGTGTGTGTGTGTGTGTGTGTGTGTGCGAATGCGCGCGCGCGCGTGTGTGTGAAATATAATTTTAAAACGGACAACAATAAACATTGCACTCGGAGGATTCTCTCTCTAGACATTATTAGCATCTGCTTGAGAAGAATGCCCCAGTGTGGCAAAACAATAAATGCCTTGTTGTGATGAAAAACAGAAGTCAGAAAGAATTGGCGATAAAACAAACAACTTACCTGTAGGAAGCTTTCGAGGAATGGAGCTTTAAATAGACAATAAAATAAAGCTGACACTCTCTTCTGTAAGTGTCAATTGATACCTAATTAAGGGAGTTAATTATGTTAAAGATAAAGACAATAAGAATAAACCTGACAAACAACCCCATTGCCCCAGATAACAACCCAACTTTAAGATGTGGAGTCAATTGTACGCCTATGTAGAAAATAATGTACCCATTTTATAGAGATGTTACATAAGAATACAAAAGGCAAGCAGAAACGAACCCTATTTTCAAAAAGGTCTACAGGTTGAGCACACAGGACCGTCTTACGTCTGCTCTTCCAAACACTCATCTTTCAGACCGCAATGGTATTTTATCCACAAAGCATGTTACGTTCAAATAACAGTATTCAAACATACATATATATGTATATATAAAGTAAAAATACACAAGGATGGTAAATGCATGCGCACGCACACACACATATGCACACACCATGTACGTACATATAAACACATACATGCATAAATTTATAACATACATACATACATACATAATACACATATATAAATACTTACACTCACACACACATATTTATACCCATTCATGTACTATCGGATATGTATACACATACATACACACACAGTTTCATACACACACACACGCACTCACTCATCCAAACACACACGATTATACATATACACATTCATAAACACTCAAATATACAAACACCTACACTACACATATATTCTTAATTACACAGACAAATACACCCATACACAGACTCATGTATACACAAAAATACAAAATCAAACGTATGCATACATGCACCCATACTCATACATAAACACACGTGCACAAACAAAAACACACACCACAAACACATATATCACACACACATATCACAGACAAATAAACTCATACACAGACTCATGCATACACAAAAATACAAACGCATACTATGCATACATGCACCCATACTCATACATATACACACGTGCACAAACACACTACACACACACACACACACACACATATATATATATATATATATATATATATATATATATATATATATATATATATATATATATATATATATATATACACACACATACACACATACAGATACGCACGCGCGCTCACACATACACAAGCACACATACGTACACATACATGTACCCACTATCATACATTCACATAAAGGATTCACGTTTATGCATACACACATACACACTCACACAGTCACATACACATTCATGCATCTACACACGTAACACCAGCACACATACGTACACTCATGCATACAAATACATTCATACCTACACACCCAGACATATCCACCCATTCATAAGTACACACACATACACTTACAATCACACTTACCTAAATACTCATACGTGCAAAAACTCTTACATAGCGAAGCATGTAAACACTATCAATCGCGCGCACTCACACACACACTCACACACACACACACACACACACACACAAACATGTACCCATGCATACATACACACTTAAACATACCCATATATCCACAAGCAATAATACTTATACAAATGCCCATACATACACAAACACACATACATACACCAACACCCATACACACACAAATACCCATTCATACACAAATGTCTATACATATACAAACGCCCATACATACATACACGGTCGCCCGTACATACAGATCATCATACAGATCCACTCATGTGTGTACACAAGCCACACACACGCAAAACACACATACACACACACTCATATATATTCATACATACACAAACTCATACATACACAAACACCCTTACATACACACAAACTCATTCATGCATATCACACATACATTTATATGCACCTGTTACACAAACCTTGTTTAATTACACAATGATAATACATTGTGGATTATTAACTAAATGAAGGTGGCATATAATTAATAAAAAGCATAAATTGAACACAAAATACACACAGCATCCCACACAAAGTAACCTAATATATAACATTCCACATATTTAAAGCCCACACAAAGTATCCGAGCATTGAATACCATACACATATATCATTCCACACGAAGTTACCTCACATATAAGACCATACACATATTAAAACTCACACATATTATATCCCACACAAAACGAACAACAAATAACGGCCCGCGCATATAATATCCCACACATAATACTCCACCTATAACAGCTCACACATACACTGTACCATCCCACTTGTATAACATCCCACAGACATAATATTCCACTTTGAATTACATCCACTTATAGCATCCCTCACATATAACATCCCACACAAAGTACCCCCACACAAAACGCCTCTCATATAGCATCACACTCTGTACCCCCACACAAAACAGCCTAAAATATGACATCCCACATAACCTACCACCATATATAGAAATGCATACATATAGCATTCCACACAAAACGCCTCTCATATAGCATCACACTCTGTACCCCCACACAAACAGCCTAAAATATGACATCCCACATAACCTACCACCATATATAGAAATGCATACATATAGCATCCCACACAAAACGCCTCTCATATAGCATCACACTCTGTACCCCCACACAAACAGCCTAAAATATGACATCCCACATAACCTACCACCATATATAGAAATGCATACATATAGCATCCCACACATATAATATGCAGCCCAAATAACATGCCATCCAAATAACACGCCACAAAAATAGCATGACACACAAATAACATCCCCACATAAAACATCCCGCACATATAACTTCTCACACGTATAACATCCCGCACATATAACATTTCACACATACAACATCCCGCACATATAACTTTCCGCACGTATAACATCCCTACATAAAAACACCCCCACATAAATCATCCCACATATATAACATAGCACAAATATAACTCCCCACACATATACAATTCCACACATATAACATCCCGGAACATATAACATCCCACACATGTAATATCCCACAATTGTAACATCCCACACATATACAATTCCACTTATGTAACATCCAACAAATTTAACATCCCACATCTATAACATCCCACACATATAAAATCCGACACATATAACATTCCACACATATAACATCCCACACGTGTAACATCCAACACATATAAATTCCCACACATATAACATTCCACACATATAACATCCCACACATATAACATCCCACACATATAACACCGCATACATACAACATCTCACACAATACACCCCACACATATCACCGAAGAACACTCTCTTTCAGTGGGACATAGTGACCATGAAAGCTAAACTGATCGCCACCAGCCTGCTGGTCAAGTTTATGGCTGCTGGCGAGTGGGACAGCCTGTCCACGTTGACCAGCGTCTACACAGAGTCCACCTTCCACAAGCCCAAAGTTAGTCAGCCACCCACCGTGAACACCATGCTTGTTGTTGTGTCCCAGTCACGGAATGTTGGTTGGCTCGGCGCACTAGCTGCGCTCATTCTGTTGTTGCTCAAAGTGCACTGTGCTGTTGTGTATGGCGTACGGCATGACCATATTTTCGATTGTTGTTGTTGAATCAGTGGTCTCCAACCTTTTTTCAGGTCGTGCCTCCCCCTCCCCCTTTGAGTATATGGCAAGACCCTCACGACCCCTTTGAGTGTTTGGCAAGACCCTCTCGACCCCTTTGAGTATATGACAAGTCCCTCTCGACCCCTTTGAGTATATGACAAGTCCCTTTCGACCCCTTTGAGTATATGACAAGTCCCTTTCGACCCCTTTGAGTCCTCACGACCCCATTGAGTGTATAGCAAGACGCTCACAACCCCCCCCCCCTGTCCCCCTGAGTAAATGGCAAGACCGCCGCCCCCCTCTCTCCAGCATGTGATTAATTAAAAAGAAGAGGTCAGTAGATTCCGCAACAGGAGAAACAGACAGTATGGAAATACGTTTTGGTCAGAATATGTACTTAATCTATAAATGGCTGTGTTATCATATTATTTAGATCTTCAAATGTGTATACACAAACTACTTATAAAAACGAACTAATCATGTCCTTGATTTTTTTGGGGTTTTATAAACAGTTTAAACCTTTTTATTATTTCCTTTATTCATAATAACACTTAATAAATATAACGGATTGTTAAAATACAAATGCACTCAGTTTAAAAATTGCTTAACGCTCCCCCCCCCCCCTTTTTTTTCTTCTTTGAAAGCTCCTCGCTCCTCGCGCTCCGCTTGGGTTTGCCTCCTCCCCCACCTTTTCCCCAGGTTGGAGACCACATAGTTAAATGGATGTTGTTTGTTTTTTCCTGCCGTGCTGTCTTGAAAGACTGTTTCTCTTGAGCAAAGTTTAAAACATAAATAAAAACAACAACGTTTAACGCTACCACTTCTGTTACTGTTGTTGCTATTACTGCTACCGCAGCAGCAGTAGCAATAGCAACAACAACAACAACCACTACTACTGCTGCTGCTTCTGCTGTTGTTGCTGCTAACAGTACTACTAGAATCACCACTAACACTACTGCTGTTGCTGCTACTACTAATACTGCTACTACTACAACTACCACTATTGCACGTAATAGAATTGTCTTAGCACAGTTCAACACACCTGTCTCTTGCAACGGTTGGGCGTTATTTCTGCATTTCAACTTTAATTTCGTTACCTTTCACCATCGTTTAATTTCTCTCTCATTCTTCACACTTACCTACATCTTAGCATAACTCAGTGAGGCACGTAATCCTTTGTGTCGTACCGCGCATGTTTTATGAAGTATACATTGAAAACAAAAATTATTAACTGTTTTTGTGTTTCACATTTCAGCGTATGTTTGTTTTGCAGGCAATTCATTTATTTGAAATGCAGGAGTGTGTAAGCAAAAATGTATACATTTTCTGAAGAAAACGTTCTCTCTTTTATTCAAATTGTATTTGGTTTACAACTGAAGAGGTTTTACACCGACAGAGTTAATTCTCTCGGCTTATGATACTTTGTTACAGAAGTGAGTAATTAAAGGTCATGTTTTCCTTTATCCAACCACAAGTGGGACATTGTGAAGAGCAAGGTCACTATGATAGCCGTCAGTAAACTGGTCACTCTGACATCTGGAAACTGGGACAGTATGGCCGCCCTGACCAATGTCTACACAGAGAAGATCTTCAACAAGCCAAAAGTCAGTCTTCATTTTTTGTTTGTTTTAACCGCCAATTATTGCTTCCTTTTTTCTTTTTTGACTAATATTCAACACCCAGTATCAGAAACAAATAGCCTAACAGGGCCTTAGTCGTGTGTAAAATGCGGAGCTTCTGCCAAGGAACAAATCGCGGCAAAACTAGGATCGGCTCCGAATAACGACACAAACGCTCTAACAGGGTCTCAGCGATATGTTAATTATGGACTTGTTTCTGCGACTATGCCGCACCGACGACGGTATCCCCCGCGCCGCACGCGCGGCGTGGGTGGAGGGTTAAACTAGATGGCTGAGACTCATGAGCAGCAGCTACCGCATCTCCTGCAACTTCCTCTCATTTATTTGCTCGTGTCCCAGGTATGTAGTTAAGATCCTCATCCGCGTAGCGGCGCGGGGGATACACCTCGGTGGTGAGTTTAGTCGGAAGAACACTGTGGCTAATTTGCATCGGAGCGCGTGGTCTCTCCGCCATCTCCATATTATCGTCTGTAATGTTGCGTGTCTCGAAATTGTCAATGGTCGTTAGTATCGCCTGCTAGTATCGTCTGCAGAAACGCTCGAAATAGTCCACGGTCGCTATTATCGTCTGCTACTATTGTCTGCAATGTTGCGTCTTTTGAAATTGTCAAGTAATCCTAGTTTTGCCGCGATTTGTTTCTTGGCAGAAATTCCGCATTTTACACACGATTAAGGCCCTGTTAGGCTATTTGTTTGGCCGCCATAATATTGGGTAGAAGTTCGGAGGAGAGCCTGAGAATTGACCTTTCTTTCCTGACCCATACTTAATCCAAATTCACACAACTCTACAAATGTTTTTTTTCACTTAGCATTGTAACTTCCATCAGTATTAGCTCATAAAGGGCCTTTAGAATGTCTTCCTTGTCAAATGCAAGTGTTCCTATATAATCCCTTTTATAGCTATTAGAAAACAACATATGAGATGAGATGTATAAGAGATGCGGCGGGAAAAACAAGAAGAGACAGAGTCGCCAACGAAAAAACTAAGAAGACTGGTAGGTGCGATAGCTATACATGATTTTAGAGAACATTAGAACATCAAATGGTTGGGTCATATGATCACAATGGAAGAGAATCAGACAGCAGCTATAACGTGCTACATGAGAACAGCTGGCTACATGAGAACAGCTGGCTACATGAGAACAGCTGGCTACATGAGAACAGCTGGCTACATGAGAACAGCTGGCTACACGAGAACAGCTGGCTACACGAGAACAGCTGGCTACATGAGATCAGCTGGCTACATGAGAACAGCTGGCTACATGAGAACAGCTGGCTACATGAGAACAGCTGGCTACATGAGAACAGCTGGCTACACGAGAACAGCTGGCTACACGAGAACAGCTGGCTACATGAGAACAGCTGGCTACATGAGAACAGCTGGCTACATGAGAACAGCTGGCTACATGAGAACAGCTGGCTACATGAAAACAGCTGGCTACATGAGAACAGCTGGCTACATGAGAACAGCTGGCTACATGAAAACAGCTGGCTACATGAAAACAGCTGGCTACATGAGAACAGCTGGCTACATGAGAACAGCTGGCTACATGAGAACAGCTGGCTACATGAGAACAGCTGGCTACATGAGAACAGCTGGCTACATGAGAACAGCAGCTACAGGTGAAGAAGCCGACCAAGAAAGAAAGCGACAGACGGAGTAAAAAAGACACGCAGTGTAAATTTAACGCAAGCTATACAACTAGCAAAAGATAGAAAACTACGTCTATCTCCTCTCTGCGACTCTCCACGGTGTAAACAGTAGGTCAAAAGAAGAAGAATAAACATATGAAAACACTAACATTCTTGCGGATAAAAGTAAGTAAAAAAAAGTAAAGGACCCTTTTCCACTCCTTTAGGCATATAGGGCATAAAGGGCTAGACCTATATTTTTATAGACTAAAGGCACAAGATGGGTGATGTGGTCAGCATCACGCCGGCCGCCTCTACTTCCCGGGACTGCACTCGGTACCCACTCAAGGCTGGGTCGACCTGGGAGCCAAGGTCATTTTTGAAAAAAAGTCCGGCTCCGCCAGGGAGTGAACCCACGACCTTCCGATCCGAGGCGCGCGTCTAGCCGCTCCGCCACGGCGACTTCTTGCGGATATGTGACTTATAAAACGCATCGTTCTACTACATTTAAGTACTTCGGCCACATGAACACAAAATTCAAGATAAGTCTATCAGCCATGTGCATCTGTGGAAATGGTGCCCCAGACAGCAGAGCATGTACTCCAGGACTGCACCGAATTTGGCACATTAAGGAAAACCTTTTGGCCAGAAAGAACAACAGTGGAACGTAAACTCTATGGACCACCACTGAATGAACTAACAATGACAGTGAAATTTATACAACAGACAAAACTGCTGATAAAGACAACTTATTTCAGGCCAACGAAAGAAGAAGAAGAAGTACTTCGGCCATATTAAACATCATAATGGTTTGGAGGTGAGACAGGGGTCGACTAGCATGATGATAGACACAGGATATCAAAGACACCCTAGCCATGACTATTCGAACTCCGTAGCTACCGCGACAGACCCCATGAATCTCCGTACCGACATCGCTCGTAAACTGAACGACACAGCGAAAGAAACCTACGACTTTTAAAGCGCGATGTCAACCTCTTGACCACACCATAACGCTCCAAACCGTCCTCCTTACAGGACACATTACAAAGAGCTTCTCTTCTGTACACACTCAGTGACGTAAAGGGCCCTTTCCCACGCTTTTAGGCGTTTTGGCATATAGGGCTAGACCTGTATTTTATAAACCAAACGGCATTTGGTGGGTGATGTGGTCAGCATCATCGGTCGCCTTTACTACTCAGAACTTTACCAGGTACCTTCTTAAGACTGGGTCGAACTGAGAGCCAAGTAATTTTACTTTAAAGTCTAGCTTTCTCAGGATCTGAACCAACGACCATATATAGGAGCCTCTAGCCGCTGCACCACGGCGCTTCCGTACATACTAAGAAGGACTTAATTGCTGACTACACTGTTATACTAGGGTCATTATTCACCGGAACATGAGAATTCTGGTTAAGATAACCCTCTGATAAATCATCTCTTCTTGGAAGATGTAAGAACATCTTGCGCACTTGATCGTCATTAAAACAAAAATGGTGACTAAACCTTCTGATGTCACTCTGGTGTCAAGACATAAAATGCCATCATTGTCTCAGTTCTAGACATTAGTCAGAAAATAATATCCATCTCTGGGCTATAGAGATATCCGATCCCCCCCCCCCCCCCCCAAGTACTTTCTTGTGTGAAAAGTCTTTCTCAGCCATGCCAGTAATAAAAATCAAATAGAAAAAAATGGAATGAATGTTATCATAGCGCTTCACCTGTCAGAAACAACGCCCCAGACAGGTTTATCAGGTGTTCTAAGTGCAAGTCGCATTAACTGAATAATGTAATTTCGTGGTTTAGGGTATAATCTCTTTTTCTTCATCGTCTTCTTCGTGTTTACCGGCTGTAATGTCGTGCAGAAAGTTCGGGTTGTTCGTCCACCTCTGATCTTATTCCAGATCCTGAGTGTTGCGTGCACATTCGTTTTACAGGTCTAGCTTATTTGTATGCATACTGTTGGTTCCTTGTCTCTCAGGCAGATACGCCCCATCTCGAAAGAAACGCCAGTTAGTTGACTCTTACGACATGCTTGTTGGGGAGGCAGTGGGTCTGTTCTTCTTTTCCCCCTCATTGGTGCCCTAGAACCCACAGTGGGACCCCGAAACCCACAATGAGACCCCGGAACCCACAGTGGGACCCGGAACGCACAGTAGGACACCGGAACCCACAGTGGGACCCCGGAGCCCACAGTGGGACTTCGGAACGCACAGCGGAACCTCGGAACCCACAGTGAGACCCCGGAACCCACAGTGAGACCCCGGAACCCACTGTGAGACCCCGAAGCCCACAGTGGGACCCCGGAACCCACAGCGGGACCCCGGAACGCACAGTAGGACCCCGGAACCCACAGTGGGACCCCGGAACCCACAGTGGAACCCCGGAACCCACAATGGGAGGATTTAACCAAATTCTTTAATCTACATTTGTTTTTGTTTATTATCTGTCAGATGGTTCACGGGTGTAAAACGGTAGAAAAACACATGCTATAGATAGTACAGTCGGCTCTGTGGCTAAGTCGATGCGAACGCTTCGTAATGCCGGGGTACCGGGTTCGATCCCAGCTGCGGGCCATGCACCTTGCCTTGGTTTCGACAGTGTTATCAGGGAGCTGACCGTCCAGGGCAATGGCAAACTACCGGACCACTGCTGTACCGCGTATAACGATTGGTCTGCAATGTATAGTGACTTCTGTAACAGATTTAGCCACTGCTATGCCAAATATAACCACTACTGTGCCATGTCGTACCACTGCTGTACCGGGTAAAACCACTGGTGTACCGATTACAACCATAGCTGTACCGGGTATAACCACAGTTGTACCGGGTATAACAACAGCTGTACCGGGTATAACCACTGTATTACAGTACTATTCAAACAGCCGACGAGTGACTGTATCAGGCTCGTGAAATCTATGATTGTTCCACCGGCTGAGTTGCCGAGTACGTTACCCTTCTTCTGTATAAGTCTGTAATAGGATTGGTATATGCTTTATGATTAGGCCTTTTCATCGCTTTTCTTTACATTTAAACTACGACAGGACGGACAGACAAACAGACAGACAGACATACAGTCAGACAGACAGACAACAGACAGACAGACAGACAACAGATCGACAGACAGACTTCGCAGACCTCCAGACAGACAGGCAGACAGACAGACAGACAGACAGACAGACAGACAAGAGAAGACAGGGAGACAGACTCGTCCAGACAGAAATACAACAGACAGACAGACAGAAGACTTGCAGACAGACAGACAGACAGACAGACAGACAGACACACCAGACAGGGATTACAGACAAACAAAACATAATAGACAGACAGGCAGGC